ATAATTACGAAAGCATCCAAAATATCCCCATGGTTTAGGGTTTCCACCTGCGACTTCTTGGTTAAGGGTTAGCATAAAAAATACGTGTTTTAGATTTTATTACGGGAGTCAATTAAAACTTTTTTTAATTTATTTTAGTGTTTAGTGATATAACTTGAAAAAACTTTTTGTTTGGTATAAAAATCTTTTTTCTATTTGCATACCATAACAAGTCCAGCAGACCACCATGGTAGCGCAGGCCACCGGGCATTCGCCCGGTGTCCCGGCGGCCCAGCACGCCCCTGTTTGTACCCCTATCACCTACAAAATGTTCAAGCTCTTCAGGATGGAGATTATGTATACCAAAGAGGCCACATTTACGAGAGACGGGATTTCCAACCAACATAACACTCATGTTTGGGCTTTTGAATTTACCAGAATTAAGAGAGCGCGTTTGGGCAGCAACCCAGGAACTTGTAAATAGTACAGACATTTTTACGCGGGTGCGCGATAGCATGCTTGCATTCTAAAAATGGAAATCATTTTAAACATCTCATATAAGGTAATACATTTTTAATTTTACATTTGGCAACACTGCATTAAAAAGTAATAGGTAAGGTTAATCCGCGGTTCCTAGTCGATCAGTGGCGTACTTTTTGGTAGGATAAAGGTTATTATAAATTATTTTTAGTCTTTGGAATTTAGAAAAAAAAAGTTTCAGGTGCTTCTTTATGGACCCTTAGGAACTACCCATTTTAATATATAACATTAATTACATAACACCCTGTATGTAGTCTAAGTCAAGTTTTCCAGAAATTTTAATCCTAAAGTTCAAATTCTTAATTTTTGAGCACAAAGTATTTTTACCATAAAAGTAAAAATTTCTTAGAGAGGAAAAAATTTAAGGGATTAGAAATAGGATTTAAAAGGCATAACGAATTTTGAGAAAAAAAATATTTTGTCCCACATTTACGTGGAAAGTAAACTATTATTACACTAGTTAAATAATGAAATATTGTTTAACTAGTGAAATAATGAAAAAAATAAAAAGATAAAGAAGACAATAATTGAGGGGTATAGAAACAAAACAAGCAATCTTCACTTTTTGAAAAAATGGTGTTATTCATGAAATTGTTATATTTACGTTCATATCTACAACGCCACAAAATATTTTGTAGCAAATCCCTCAAAAATCTATCCATATTTAATGTTAAAAATAGGGTTCAGTGGCAAAACCAGAAATCTCCATAGCTCCGGGTGTAGCAAAACCGGCAATCCCCATTTCGACCAGCTGAATTGCATTCTGTTTTAAAATTGAATACACGGAGAAAAGTGAATTTTAAATTTAGTTAAGCACTAATTACTTTATTTTTAATATGTATTTGTATAGGTACATGTTAAAATATTATAAAAATTCTAAATTAATTATTTTTTGAAGTTTAGATTAGGGCCATTTGTCCCTATCCCCCTTGTAAGATACCTTAACATTTAGCTTAGCCGAAGGGGCTTAAATAAAATGTATAATTTTGTTGTTCTAATAGTGTAAATAATTAATTATGCTGTAGTTTTTCAGTTTTTGAGCCTTTAGCAGCCGTGATTTTGGTAAATTAAAAAATAAATTGCATTACGTAATACATAAGGCAACCTCCCTCCCCAACAGTAACAAACCGTAACGATCGTGCTGAAACCCCCCTCGAGCGTTACGTATACTTTAATGACCCCTTATATAAAAACCTTTTGTTTAAAGAATCTCTAACCTTTTTTAGCAAATTATAATACTTTAGTATACTTTACAAATATTAAAATAATTTATTGTTAAAGTAATTTGGATGTCAAAATAAAAATAAATTACAAGGAAAGTTGAAAAAAATAGTGAAATTTTAACATTGTACTGAAACATTATGTTTTCTGAAAAATTTGACAAATTGGAAATTGCTGGTTTTGCTTCTATACCCCTCAATTATAATAATAATAATAATAATAATAATAATAATAATAATAATAATAATAATAATAATAATAATAAAAATAATAATTATATTAATAATAATAATATTAATATTTATTGAGAAGAAAAAATTACAATAATTACAAGTTACATTATAATCAATATATATGCTAAAAACACTTAAATGTAATTAAACATTTGTGCGTGTATATAAATATAATATTACTAAATAACATTAATTATAAATCATATTCGACAGATAAAACATAAGGATTCACAAGCATTAAATAAATAAAGAAAGAAAGAAAGAAAGGCTGTAACGTGTTAATTTCCATTTTGAATACTTTGGTTATATTATATAAATAAAGAACCTTGCAAAACAGTTTTAGAAAACTTAACCTCAAAAACCAAACCCTTATCACTTAAGTTAACAGTATCAAATCATTTCTATAAAAGTATTAATTTTTATTTGATTGTGGGACAAAAAACATGTAAAACTCGTAAATATTGGACGAAGATGGACTCGCTTTCTTGCCAAGCTCGCTTCGCTCGCGAGTTAAAAGAATGCTCGTTCATAATTAACAATTTTCTCCACTTGCACAGTACAGTATTGTAAAGTAACATAACGCGTTATTTATTCTTTGGTTAGAATGTCTTATTTCATGTTTTTAATTAAAAAATAATTTTGTAATTTTTTTAATTCCCTTTAAAACCTGGTATAAAATTTATTATTTGTTACTGTCACTTGTTGATTTATGTCTTTTTTTTTGTTAGTTTAATGGAAGGCCCCTGCCAATATTTAATTAATATTATATTATTCAATAACTTCTCTTTTTTAAACTACGTTCAATATTTTATCGTTAACATTCAGTCAGTTGGTTTTATCGCATCCTTAAATTACCAAATGGAATTAAATGTTACACATAAAACGTTTAAATACGGGAAGGCTAGCTAAATAGGTAGCAATCGTTTGTCGCACTGGAATACCGCAAAATTCGGCCCACTGTGGCTGTATGTCGTGTTATCTGAATGCTCGTGGGTGATTTATCCGGGTTATGGTACTCGAATGTAATACATTAGCCAGTATTAAGAGGTTAACTGCTGTTTATGCCCTGGCATAGGAATATACTACATTGCGATTTCACTTGATAATGATATTTTCTTATCGCTTTCGATCAGAACTTACGCATTGTTGAGTTAATATAGATAAATTTAGTTATTTCATTGTTTCTGAAGTTTATGTTGACACGTTACTGAAAATTGTTGGTAATATAAGACAGTGGCCTAACTAGCCAAAGTTTTTAAATTAAATAAACTTCCTTGTAATTTACTTAAGAGTAATAAAACTGTAGTAAGTATACATTATTTAAAAAGCTAAGCTAAGGTTAAATTAAAGTCAGGTAATAATGTAATGCTTGTTATAACATTATAATATTATGCATGCAGCTTTTTAAATAATTTATTCTTTATGTTTATTTCAACTGAACGTTAAAAATTTATTTAAATAAATAGTATTAAAATAGATATATATATATATATTAAAACTCACATTTATAAATTTGATTTTTAAACCCTCGCACCAAATGATAAATCGGCTTAACATTTTATCCATTACTATAAATATTCGTAACTAACTTTGCAAACGAGGCAATTTATAGTAACTTTCTTTAAGTTGGTATACCGTCTATAGACGGTAAAATGAGTTTGTTCAAGAAGTAGGTTAACGTATGTAACTCAGCGACATCAATTTAACATTGTACTTTAAATTTGCCATTAATTTTGATGAAAACCTACAATTTAGACGTCGTTAATATGTTTGGATCACGCCTTTTATAATAGGGAAATGGCGTCTTAAATTATTCAGAAAACGCTTTTACAGGTATATTTTGGAGCATCTCCTTTCTCGGAGAATTGTCCTATGCACCAACACCTAAATAATAGTATAAAAAAAGATTTTACCACTATACGCTAAATAAGTATCGAGTTTTCGCAACATGGCGCCATCTGGTGGACTTCGAATGCATTGCGTGAATTTAAGAATTGTCAACAACAAATTTAAAGCACTGATTATACATCATTTTTAAATAAATAGGTAGTTTTTTTTACAAAAGAGAGGAAGGCAGAAGTCTTACTCAACAAATTTTGTTCAATTGCACAGCTAAATAGCGCACGTTTTTTGTGTTTTACGTTGCAAGGAAAAAATTAAAAACTTTTTTAGTACTCGATTTCGATTGATTATTAGGTATATTGTGCTTTTAATTGTAAATAAAGTCAAGAACTAAATCGTTGCATTTTCATGTTTTTTCAAAGGATCCAATTCGGTAAGTACATTTGTTGGTGCAGAATTAACTAATGATAACTTTACCTAATATAATTTATATTTAAGTTAGGACATTTTTAAGAAATTAGTAAAAAATAATAACATAACCTTAAAATCAATCATTTTTATATTTGAGTTCTCTAAAAAACGCGGACAACTGCATTTCAAACGACAAAATATACCTACGAATTCATGGCAACATATTATATATGATACATAATATAATGGTATTTTACCGTTGAGTGGATACTTTAAAGAATTCTTAATCAACGCTTTTAATAATGCTAAATGCTGTGTAAATTTAGACGAGTTATTTGTTTGACGATTTTTACTGAATTGAAATGTTTACACTTTTCACGTTAATCACTACTAAAATGTTTATTTATTGTATCTAATAGGTACAATTTATATTTACAGAGACTGTATTTATTTCTTCATTCAGATTAACACTGTTTATTGGAAAACCGGTAAAAACTCAACCCAGGATTTTCTCTCGAAATACACCCAACAACACAACAAATCGATCAATGATTTTTTTCGATATTTTTTAACATTTTCCGGCTTTATTCTCAAAAACACTCGTTTGTAACCCAAGCGTTTGACAGCTGATTATTAAAAGTTTTACTTTTGTTACGATGATATCAGCCGAGTGGTGGCGATACTTCTTTAGCGTATTGGTGACTTTTAAATTAACAAATAGATATTGTTAAGCTTCAAATATTCATTGTTTTTCTGTTTTTTTATAGTTTCAACATGAATACTCTGCCAAGAGGCAAAAAGATATTGGCCATGTTAAATAAAGACAAAAAACGATTTACTCCCCATAATAATAAGCAAAAAAAAAAGAAAAGTAATAATGATTTAGATCCGGATTATCAACCAGATTCAGAAGATGATTTCGATTCCTTACAGCCTAAAAAAATGATACAAGTTCATTCGCATAATAGAATTTCTGGCTCAAATCTTTTGCAAGTTTCAAGCCTACTTTCAGCTTCTCCTCAACCAGGAACTTCATTTCAAGACCTATCAAATTCAGAAAATAAAATAGATATTGCGGATGCCGAGGCTGTGCAATGCTCTTCGTTTGATAATAAAAAAGAAGAATCTTTACCAGCTGCTATTGCCTCTTTGATAATAAAAGAATTAATAGATTTAACGATTTCGGAGATTTTGAAGAAAGTTACGAAGAAGGGGACTCTAAGAAAGCGGAGTAAGTTCGATATTCCATTATCTAGTCGCAGAGCAGCAAAAATAATAAAAAGGGTTTTGAAACACACAATAGTGAAACCGCCCTGCTCTTCCAAATGTGTTTTGAAATGCAGTTTAAAACTCAATGAAGAAGTTAGAAAAGTTATTAATCAGCAGTATTGGGAGTCATCCAGTGACATTCAAAAAAACTTTCTACTAAACAATGTTAACATCTGATAATGACGGAACTGCGATTTATACACCCAAAAGTCGAACAAGGGTGACTCCAAATAAAAAAATCGATCGTAAGGTTATTATTGATCACATATCTTCATTTGGGCCAACAATATATCATTATCGAAGAGCACATGCACCAAAAAGACTCTATCTTCCATCTGATATTAATATAGCGTATATGCACAAACATTTCCAAGAAAATTATCCTTCAATGACAGTATCCTATGCTGTGTACCGACAAGAAGTTGCCGACCAAAATATATCTTTCGTTAAACTTGGGCATGAGGAATGCTGTCAAAAATGGAATACCCATATACAGAGGGCAAATCTTTCAAGGGAAGCTTATCAACAAGACAGCAAATCTGACACTGAACCTGGTCGTTTGATTGTATCTGCTGACCTTCAAAAGGTATGCTTTCTTTACAGATTTTATGGATCGAAATGAAATTTACTTTTTTCAGGTGATAATGCTGCCTCGCCTTGACATGTTTAAAGAGGTAATTTTTACACCAATAATTATTGCATTTAATGAGTCTTTTGTCCCTGTCGATTCCAATAAAGAAAAGCTGTGTGCTATCTTGTGGCATGAGGCGATATCTGGAAGATCAAAATCTGATATCACATGCGCATTCCACAGATTTTTGTCACTAAATCAAGATGCCCAAAAAATTATATTCTGGCTGGACAATTGCAGTGCACAGAACAAGAATTGGGGATTGTTTTGTTTTTTCGTCCATATGATCAACTGCAATGATATTGCTGCCCAACAAATTGACCTTAAATACTTCGAGCCAGGACACACCTTTATGAGTGCCGACTCATTCGACCACCAAGTGGAGCATTCATTAAAAAAAAGGAAAGGTTTATGACTTTCAAGACTTTGTTGATTGCGTTGAGAATGCAATGCCTGGAAAAAAGATAGTCGCTGCTGTCATGGATCTTCAAAACTTTTACGAATGGCCTGATTGTACATCTCAGTTCAAATTGGGTAGAATGTCTCCTCGACCATATCTTCATTCTATGGTGCATGTTAGATTCACAAGAGACACTTTACAATATAAAAATAATTTTAATGATGATTTTTGTATACTAAATTTTTTTAACCGCAAAAGCTTACAAGAGTGGAGTACCTTCTCTGAAGCCCCTTAAAGAACCACGAAGTATATTAAAAGAAAGAAAGGAAAACATAATCAGTAAGCTCTCGGAAATTATTCCAACAAATAGAATAAGTTTTTGGAAAGATTTACCAGTTTATCAGGCTGATACTAGTTTAGATGACAGTGAAATTGAAGATTCCGATGATGAGTAGATTCACTTCTTCCATTTTGTTTTATTGATATGCATCCAGAGTTCTGTCTTGTGTTCCTTAGTTTATTTTTATATGCCTACCTAATGTTACCTTATATGACTTAAAAGCATCATGTTTATTTTTTACTACAAATAAAATTAAAAAAATTGTTTACAAAAATGTCTTTCTACTTCCTAACTATACATCAAATACGGCATCAGAAATATTTGTAATATAATTATTATTATTTAATGAAAATGCCGTATCTACAATAATTTGTAGATACGGTATAATCATCTAACATTTATTACAGATATGTTAACTTAAAATGCCGTAAATGCAAATTTCTTTCAATGCTGAGAACTAGAAATATAGCGTAGCAATAAGTCACTTCTACTAGAATGATAACCAAAAACTTTCTATCTTTAAAAATAAGAATGGCACAAGGTAAAACAGAAAATGTTGAATTTCTCAAAATGTAATTTCTGTAGATACGGCGTTTTCATTAACTACGGCAGAATAGTACCTATAAGCATCACAATAAGTCATTGTAACGCGATTTTTTCATACCACTTTGTCTATTTGATCATAATTTATTTATAAATTTAATTGAATTTAAAAAAATAAATACTTAAATGTATGTTAGGTTGGCATAATTAACAAGAAGAGAAATGTCACAATTAAATAATAATAATAATAACAAAATTGACGTTTTATTTAAAAAAATAAAACATCAATTTTGTTTGACTATTTCGATGCTTCTAAGAGCTCAGTTTACATAATATGTAGGTACCACATATACTTCTTATGATTTTATTCACATTTAATTAAGCCTATAATTTAGGTAAACAAACCCAGAAAGAAGGGGGTTTAAAGTTTAAACTTTAAACACATCGTCGACATGAGGACTTGGCAAAAAGCTAAAATAAAAATTCGTAATATCAATGCCTCTAAAAAGGCACTGAAAACGATGAGATTCTCATCATGAGAAGCATTAAAGTAGACAAAAACATAATAATTTGTTATCATGTAATCGTAATAATCTGCCATGTAACTTGCGCACATAAAACCAAATTACTGCACAAACATAATAGTTATTTATGCGCCAAGTCAGTAAAGTGATTCTTTATCAAACGAGTCTAAGATAAGTAGAGCAAGGCGAGTAACTGACGTGGTGCACAGAGAAAATCCGTTTGAAAAAAAATACACATCCGCTATTGCTATTTACTTCAGTTTGTAATTAATTTATGTTTATTTTATGTTTTCAGTTTATATTAAGTTTATTTTATCCCTACAACATTTTTGTGTTGGTCGCTAAATTCATATTTGTACTACTTTGTACTATTATAATAATTATAAGATAATTATCTTAAGTAAAGACGCACTTCATGAGAATTATGAATTATACCTTAATATTATTAGAATTAGATATACGAATTTTATTTTTCAGTTGGTAGTTTATGTTCAGTTTATATTACTTTTTTTCTATTTTCCATTTCTTGTACTATTCGCTGAATACATATCTAAATTAATAATTTAGTTTTAATTTCCTTTTTACCACCCTCGCATCCCAAAACAAATAAAAAAAAATGGAGAAATTATTATTAAACAATGTTTTGTTTGTGCCATAATTTGTGCAATTTTACCACAAAATATTATATTAAAAAATTATATAACACTAATTTATTAACACAAATTATATGAGCCGACTAGATTAAAATTTGTATATATGTCAAATAAATTATGTATGTTTTTGTACAATAAGTTTACTAAAATTATTTGCTACAATTTTGCACAAATTGTTGAACAAGTCCTTACAATTATAAAACCAAATCTCCAAACAATCGAACTATCTGGGATAACGTAGCACATTTATAGAAAATTATGCTCCAATGGCATGTTGCATTTTTTTCCAACTGATTCCAAATAGCACTCGGAAATGGTGTCGCTTTTACACCTTCCGCCAAGCTTCGTGGCATTTTAAATTTTCCTTACTGTCGCGTGCGTTGGTAAAGAGAGTAGCGGGCGTTCGAAGAAAACAGTGTCCCGTATAAAGTGATGATTCTGGAAAATGCAGATAATAGTAAACAATTTTGCTTGGTATACTTCTACTTCTAAGTATGTATTCTAACTGCCTGAACTGTGTATTTGCCATTTCTATAGTTAAGAAAAATCGGTCGTGGGGCGTCAGCTTGTGACGCAGAGCTTAATATTTGTTAAATAATTATATGGATTTTACTTTTTCTTCAAATTCTGAAGTGATCACTAGGGATGGGATATTTAGGTACTAAAAACTGAAAAATAGTTAACTAAAAAGGTACTAAAAAAAGCATTTTAGGTTCAAAAAAACAGCATTTTAGGTGAAAAAAAACATTAAAAGTTCAAGTTTTGTTGATTTTTATAAAATAAGTAACGTAAAATATTTTTTTATAAACTGACCAATAGTTAATTGAAGCTATAAGGAACTGGATAAAATATTGGCGCAAAATTTAAAAAGAACACAAAAAAATAAAATAAGTAAAAATACGTAAAAATCGGTAACAAACAGGTGAAAATAAACTAACAAATTAAAAAATAGGTAACAAAAGTATAAAAAGGTAGTTTAAAGCAAAAACCTCCAAAAAAGGTAAAAAAGGTGAAAACAATTTAAAAAAATAGGTAACAAAAGTATAAAAAAGGTAGTTTAAGGCAAAAACCTCCAAAAAAGGTAAAAAAGGTGAAAACAAGTTAGGTTCATATAAAAGAAAATCTTTTAAAACACATTTTGGCATTATTGGTTTTAAAATAGTTACATCGGTTGAAAAAAGGTAAAATAACTAAAATCCCATCCCTAGTGATCACAAATAATCGAGGCCTGTTGGTCTTTGTTTAAGTTAAATGAATAACTAAAATTGTTCCTTTGTGCTCTATATCATTTACTTTTAGTTTCAAAAATCTTTCATTTTCTTACACCCCAGCAATGCCAAACTAAATTCATATCAAATTGGCTTTTAAAAGTTTGCATAAACTACTTTCATCATTAAGTAGCTTCAATCTGATGCATCTAGTAAAAATTAAAGTATTTCGTCTTGTGAAATAGCCTTGGACTTTATTGTTTAAAAAAAGCCGTGAGTTTCTTATATTTTCTTTTGTCCGCGTCATTTTTTCCTGAAAGGGTTTCTTTTACCATGGAATAATACGAACACATGATGTGTTACACATCGAAGAAGGAAAATACTTTTTAGATAAATCGGAAAAATACGCCAGAAGAACGTTTTAACTATATTTCTTAATTTCTTGTTTTTTGTACCACTCCATGAATATGTCATACTGGCGATTGTATTTTTTAGCTAATTTTTGTTATAGAATTTCGAAAGACGTCTCTAACGACTTCTTCCGAATTTCAGGCGGCGTGCACTAAATGTCTTCTTTCATTATTTTCGGTTAATAATTCAGGAAAAAACTTTTACTGCAGTAACATGTTGCAGCCGTGACAGCGACAAACGATTTTTATTAGTTATTCATAGTAGTGTTGATAAAGCGGTAGGTAAAGTATTTGATTTTTACAATACAAAAAAGTGTTTGTTTACCTCCAAAAATCGCTATGGTAATGCATGGCTTTATTAACAGTTAGATAAAAATGATTTTCTTACTACCTCGACTCAAAATACGTTGTTTCGTCCCCGATTTCACACTGAAAAAAATAAGCTGTTGAAACAACAAAAAAAATATTAATTCAACTCTTTATGCACTTTAAATACAAGCAATGGTTTTTGCACGTTTACTTAACCTTCTAAAAATGTCAAATTGTATTGTTTAATTGAACAACAAATAACAGTCAAATGAACAAAATAAGAATATTTGTTCTAATCTGCTAATTTGGTTAATTTAACATTCTTAGAGTGTTAAGGTAAATTTCTTGAAATGTCCAGGTAACCTTTTTAGCATATTCACTTAACACCAATAAAATGTTAAATTAACATTCTGAAAATGTAAAATTCTTTAAAGGTTGGTATCCAAAACAAAATTATGGAAATAATATATAAATAGAAAGAATTGAACCTTCACCTCGCACAGAGTTTTTGTTTTGAGCGTGTTCCACCCATGATACATCTTTGTATCATGTGTTCCACCTACTTCAAATACCGACAGACTGTTTCGCCCTGTATTGAGGGTCTTAACAGTGTCGGGCAATATATTGCCACCATATATGGTGTAGTGAAAGTTCTACTGTGGAACACACCTTAAACAAACAGATATCTCATCTTATATACACCTAATCGTAAGGTAACTAAGGCGAGATGTAAGAAAACGTCATTGTCTAATGACGTGGCGTGAGTGTTCGAAGCGCCATTCTCGGCAATTTTATGAATGCAAATTTTACATTTTAAATTTGTTAAATGAACAAATTTAAAGTTTTGGATTAAAGAGCAACTAAACGTTAATTTAATAGTTTTTTTTAGGTAATCCTAAAAAATTCAGTAGTTGATTCAACAAATTCCAGCTATTAAATCAAAGTACGATAAACATTTTAATTCAAAATATTAGTTTATGTTAAATTAATATTTAAACTGTCAAATGAACAAATAAACTTTGACAAAC